TCAATTCACCAAAACATGTCTCATAAACATAAGCACATGAATTAATTCATTGTATAACCAAACAATTTTCATACAAGTGTTCTCTAATCATGAAACTAAGTTCTTTTCTTTGGTACCTAAACATGATACTACTTAAAACGAAGTAGACATGTACGTACCTCGTGTAAACAATCCTTTGTGCCACTTTTAATCACTTAAAAGTCTCCTAGAGAAAAATCACTTCCTAGAAAACAACCAACAACAACAAATTAATACTTAACCAAAATTCTAGCAATATAAATTAGATTAAAAGTCCTTAAAACTTCATCAAAAACATGTTTTTATGCTTAATTAATCATTAGAAATTGACTAGGAACAAAAGCCCCAAATTAATTAGTCATTAGAACCCTAAAATCCCAATTTCAATAAATTAAAACCCTAGGTTTTATAATTATAAAATCAGAAAATTATAATAACAATTATAATCTGTAATTATAACTTTAAACTATCAAAAACATGATTTTGATACTAAAAAATATAAACTTTATACTATAAAATCAAAACCCAAAATAATTAAAAAAAACATTAAGCAAAAATAATGAAACAAAGGAGGAGGAAAGGAGGGCAGCCACGGTGGGCCATGGCTGGGCCGCTTGGTGGGTCGTCAGGGGTGGTGGGCGGCGACCGGCGGTGGTGGGCAGCAGGCGGCAGCTTGAGAAGCAGTGAGCTATGCTCACTTGAAGAAAGAAAAGAAAGAAAAAGAAAAGAAAGAAAAAGGAAAAAGAAAAGAAGAAAAAAGGAAAAAGAAAAATAAAGGAAAAAAAATAAAGAAATAAAATAAACAGAAGAGAATTTACTAACCTTTTTGTATGGGGAAAAATTTTGGAGATGTATGGGGTATTTATAGGAGAGAGAGTGATGTAGGGTTAGTAGTAAGATTGGGCCTCATAAAATTAATGGGCTAATTAAATAAGTAAAGTGAGATTAGTTTTGATAGTTTGGGCATAAATTATAGAATGAAGTTACATATAATAATCGTACCAAAATAATTTTCGACCCAAAATAAAAATTGAAACTTTTGAAATTAAATTCCGGAAAAATACAAATAAATATTATAAATAAAATATAATTTCACTTATAATATATTTAAAAATACTGGGGATTACATGAAGTATGAATGGAGGCCAGTCTTATGTACTTTGTGCAAAAAACTGGGGCATACAGCTGAGGCCTGTAAAGGCAAGAAGAAGATAATATGGGTTCCTAAGGATAAGAAGAAGACTATGGAGCCAAAGCCAAAGACAGACAAACCAGCTAATGAGGAAGTCATTCCAGTTGAACGGGAACAGAACAAAGAAAATGAGTTCCAGGAAGTGATAAAAACTTCAAGGAAGTTACCTGAATCTGTTTCAAAAGTAGTAATTAGTAATGCTTTTGCTGCTCTGGAGAATTGTGATGATGACAGGGTGCAGGACAGCCTGGAGTTACTTCAGGATGCTGATGCAGGGAAGACCAATGTTGCAGAGGTTGGAAAGACCTCTGACAGCAATGGATAAAATTGTAGCTTGGAATGTAAGGGGAGCCAACTTGACCAGCAAGCATAAAAAGATTAAGCAATTCTTGGTTGCTCAAAATTGTGGTTTAGTTGGGCTCTTGGAGACAAAGGTGAAATCTCATAACATGGGAAATCTGTATTTAGGGGTTTTTGATGGCTGGAATTTCACTTGTATTAATAGTGCTGTAGATAAAGGGAGGATAGTGGTTGCTTGGAAATCTTAATCTTTTGATGTGAATATCATAATGTGTTCTAGCCAGCTTATTCATCGTATAGTGAATCCTAAAGGAATGTCTAAGGGTTTTCACTGTACTTTTATATATGCCTTTAACACTAAAGGTGAAAGGGAGGTGTTATGGAATGATCTTAGAATTCTGAGTGGGAAGATTGATGGGGCATGGATTGCTTTGGGAGATTTTAATTGTATCTTGGAAGTTGATGAAAGAATTGGGGCTGCTGTAATTATGAATGAGATTGTAGACTTCAGAAACTATGTTAATGGCTGTAATTTGTATGATATGAAGTATGGGGGTAACCTTTTCACTTGGAATAATGAACAAGAAGGAGAAGCAAGGGTTTTTTCAAAGATAGACAGGGGTTTGGTGAATGATAAGTGGACTGATATGTTCAAGCATGCTGAGATGTACTATCATAATGAAGGTGATTTTGATCATTGTCCTGGAGTTGTTTCTGTTTTCCCAGATCAAAGAGATGGTAAGAAACCTTTCAAATACTTTAATTTGTGGAGTAGGAAGCATGATTTCAAGGAAAATGTGAAGCAGGCATGGAATAATGAAGTTAAGGGCACAATGATGTATGGTGTAGTTTAAAAGCTTAAACAAGTGAAGAAAATGCTTGTGAATAAAAATAATCATGGTGATATGAATGTAGAAATTCAATAGAATGTGGAAAAAATTAAGCTTGAAAAATGTCAGTCAGAGCTTCACAGTGATCCAAGGAATATAGAGCTAAGGGGAAAAAAGATGACAGCTAGGGAACTAATGGTTACAGCTCAAGATGACTACAATTGTTACCTGAGACAGAAAGCAAAAGCAGACTGGATAATTGCAGGTGATTAGAACACAAGACTATTTCACATGTCTTTGAAGAAAAGACAGATCAAGAATAGAATTTACACTATTCAGGATATGAATTGAGAGGAGTCAGAGGATATCCCTAAATCTTTTCTTGAGTATTATGATTTTTTGTTAGGCACAGCAGCTGAAACAAGGAAGGCAGTCAATGAACATATTGTTAAGCAAGGCCCATTGGTAACTGAGGATCTGTAGACTATGCTGTCAGCTCCTTTCAATAAGGAGGAGGTGAAATCATCTATGTTTGGCATTGATGAGAACAAAGCCCCGGGGCCAGATGGTTTTGGGAGTAATTTTTTCAAAGAATGCTGGGATATAGTGGGTTCTGATATTAGTAAAGTTGTTCTTAGTTTTTTGCAGACAGGGAAGCTTTTGAAGGAAATCAACACTACCTCTATAACCTTGATTCCTAAGACTAAATGTCCTGTGAATGTCAAGGAATTTAGACCAATTGCTTGTTTGTGTTATGTGTTGAGTATCTCTCTAGAATTCTGAGAGTTGTTAGCAATCATCATGGGTTTCACTTCGGCCCTAGATGTAAAACTGTAGGGCTCACCCACTTATGTTTTGTTGATGACTTGATTCTTTGCTGTAAGGGTGATGTTCAATCTGTGAAGTTGATGATGAAAGGGTTCAAAGCTTTCTCTAATGCTACTGGGTTAAAATCTAGTGCAGAGAAGACTAATGTGTATTGTGCTGGTATTCAGAGTGAAACTGTGAAGAAGATTCTGGACATGACTGGTTTTAAGGAAGAAAACCTTCCTTTTAGATACTTGGGTGTGCCCATTTGTTCTAAGAGATTGTCTGTTGTGGATTGTGATCATTTGATTGAGAAAATGTGTGCAATAATTAAGATTTGGAGCTCAAGGAACATGTCTTTTGCTGCCAGATTGGTGCTCATCAATTCTGTTTTAATGAGTATTGACTCATATTGGGCACAAATTATGATTCTGCCTAAGGCTATTTTTACAAAAAAATTAATGCTATTTGTAGAAATTTCCTTTGGCATGGAAGTTTACAGAATAAACCTGCTTATATAGCTTGGAAGGATGTTTGTAAGCTGAAAAGTGAAGGTGGTCTGGGTGTTAGAGATGCTGAAACTTGGAATAAAGCTGCTATTAGGAAACATGCTTGGGAAATTGCTCAAAATAAAGAGAATTTGTGGGTAAAATGGGTGAATAGTGTAAATATAAAAGGAAGTAATTGGCTGGAGTATCAGCCTACTGCTGATACAAGCTGGTACTGGAAGAAAATTTGTTAGGTGAAGCAATCTTTGAGTAGTGTTTATGATATGAGGATGATTGGGCAGGATTCTTATAAAATAAGCAAAACTTATGCTCTTATGAAACCTGCTGAGGAAAGAGACAGATAGAGCAAGTTTGTCTGGGAAAGATGGGCTATTCCAAAGCACCAATTCATTTCTTGGCTAGCTATGCAGGGAAGACAGGTAACAAGGGATAGGTTGTTCAAGTTTGGGGCTAATACCAAGACTGAGTGCTTACTATGTGGTGATCATGCAGAAAGTCATGAACATTTGTTTTTTAAATGCAGTTACAGGTTCTGCAGGAGGTGGCTTCTGTTCTGACTGGTAAAGAGTTCTGTCAGACTCTCAGTGCAGCTAGAAGAAGAGATAAAGCAGGCAAGATCAGATTTCTGAAAGGAATCATCAGAATGGGATTGCTAGAAGTGATTTACTAGATCTGGAAGGCAAGAAATATAGCTCTTTGGGATCTTAAGATTCCTTGTATTCATGTTATTGTAAATAATATAAAGTTTTCTATTAGGACTAGATTGTTAAGTCTTAGTTCTAAGTACATAAAAGTTTCTGATAGGGGTTTTTTAGAGAAGCTTGTATAGGTGGCTTCTCTTAGGGTTGTTAGGCTTTTTTTAGCCTTTTTGTTTGCTTCCTTTTGGGACTTGGGTGTATAAGTGATGATTTTTCAATTAATAAAATCGCCTAATTACCAAATATATATATATATATACATATATATATATACACACACACACACACGTTTATCCTTTCTAAGGATTATACCATGCTCAGCACATTTTTGAGTTACAACTTTAAGATCATTCTTATGCTGCTATAAATCTTTTGAGAAAATGAGAATATCATCTATATAGACCAAACAACAATGATTAAGTTCTCTAAAAATATTATCCATTCTTCTCTGAAATATTTGTGGAGCATTTTTTAATCCAAAAGACATTACTAACCATTCATAATGCCCTTGAGGTGCACTAAATGCAGTTAATGGAATACTTTCTTCTTCCATTTTAATTTATCAATAACCACTCTTACAATCCATTTTAGAAAACCATGTGGCTCCTTGTATTTTATTAAATAACACAGTGTTATTAGGAATGTATTAGCCATCAAAAACAGTATTGTCATTTAGTTGCTTATAATTAATGACCATTCTAGCTTTACCTCGTTTCTCTTCTGCATGGTTTCTAACCATGAACGCTGGACTATTATGAGGACTCTTGCTATTCCTAATTAAATTCTTATTCAACAATTCTTTTATTTGTTCATCGAATTCTAATATATCTTGGTAGGTATAAACCATTTGTCTTACTCTAATAATCTTATTTGGATTTGTTAGAGTTATCTTAGCAAATGCCTTATCCTTTTCCCAATGTTCTAAAGGATTTGTTGAATATAATTTTTCACATAACTTTTCTTGTTGCTTATTAATTTGATCTATTAATGATGATTCACACTCAGAAATTCTAAGTGCAACCTCTTGTTGTGTAGGTGTAACCCTATCACCACGCTGGCTGCGGGTAAATTCTATAGTCTAATGGGTATAAGCTTTTGTTATTTTTTGTATAGGAACAGAATGACCATTAATAGTAAAGATTATCTTATCAATGGTTTGAGTGCATGGGGAGTATAACCTTTGAAAATTATTTTCTATTATCATATCATGACTTGGTTGATCAGTTGCCCATAAAATAGGAATAACACATTGAACTCCTCCAATTTTTATTTTTAAATCTTCAATTATCTCCGTATGCATCATGACACTATTATTAGCAATTCTAACTTGCATAGGATTTTTAGCCTTTTTCCACAAGAATTCTGGGAATAATGATCTCTTTCCAAAACATGTAGAAGAACCACTATCAATATACGCACAAAATTTATATTTATTATAATCCTCAATGCATGCATCAATTGGAATATAAATGATATTAGGATTAGTACTGGATATTTCATTACTAGCTTCCATTTGCATGTTAACTTCATCCTCATATACTGGTTCACTCACAGTTTTAGTCTTATATCCAATTACTTTCCTTTTATCAATAGGATTATTTGGATCTTCATTTAACTCAACATTAGAATATGATCCCATATCAATGCTATGCCTTGCAGGTTGTTTTAAAGCCTTTTTACCCTCATATTTGTCATTAGTTTCTTTAGTAGAACTAATATTTCTTCTTCATCTTCTTCTGGCTTCTCATCACTTTGTTTTTTCATCTTTATAATCGTTGAATTTTGTCTACTTAGACTTGGTGTTCTAAGACTCATATTTCTTTGTATTTTAGGTTTCATAGCTACTCCAATATGAAGTAATCCTGATCCATCTATTAACATTTTACTTGATCTATTACTAACTGTAGGGTTTATAAAGAATTCTTCCCAAGTTTTTTCAATTTCGATTTCGTTAGGATTTACTTTTATAGGTGTAATTTCTTCTTAGGGCATCCTCCTTGCTCATACTTCTGAGCATCGACTATTTGTTTCTTAAAAGATGAGTCTATAGTGTTTACCAGCTTATAAACCACCTTCCATCTTAATTGTATGGGTCGTGTTCCTTTATGCATTTTTACTCCTTCTATTAGTAGTTTGATAGCTAAGAACTTTGACGCAAATGAATCTTCTAAGCTCACATAATATCTAGGTTCACATATGTAGCTTACCGTTCCTTGACTTAAGTTACATGTGATACCTGATGGGTGTCATAAATGGCACCCATTTGATGAGTATTTAGGTTGTTTTCATCCTCTTTTCATAGCTTTATTGCTTAATAAATGCTTATTTTTATGCTTTGTTGCTTAGTTTTACCTTTCCTCTCTTATTTTGTAGCTTTCGTGTATTTTGTTAGTTTTCTAGCCTTTTCTCCTTTATTTGCTCTATTTCCGTGGTTGTAGGTATTGTACAAGGTTCGGGTCTTGATATTGGTGATCTACTAAGGTGGAGAAAGCTTTTGGAGTAAGCTCATGGCATTTGGAAAGCTCAAGATGCAAGGAAGCGAAAATTCCAAGTCTCGGCTCTTGCGCTCGCATGCCGTGCTACCATTAAGAAGTGGTGTACCCACTAATCTAAAGCTTTAGCTACTGCCACTCCTAGTGTTAATCATCATCATAGTCGTGCGGCCCTAGCGAACGCACGAAGCCGCGAGAAATTGGTGAAACCCAGCTAGGTGCGGGCGCACAGCAGGGAGGCGTGGGCGCACCTAAGGGTGGCGCGGCCGCACTAGCAGGTGGCGTGGGCGCACCCCTTTTATGCGCGGGAGCACCTCCCCTGCTGCCCGGGCGCGCCTTCGTGGGTATTTTGTGCTCGGTTTTTGGTGTTTTCGGGCCTCTATATATATCTATGTAAACCCGATTTTTGGGGCAAGTTTAGAATAAGTTTCATATTAGATTTTGATCATATTCTTAGCTTAGTTGAGAGCTTCTCTCTCTAGTTTTAGGGTTAGTTTTGGGAGTAGATTTAGAGAGAGAAAGTGAGGAATTTCAATGGTGATTGAGAGATTGAAGATTCAATGGTGACAATTGTATTGGAGATCTTCTCTATTATCAATGAGCATTTCTAAACTCTATCTCATTTATTGTTTTGTTTAATATTCATGTTTGTTTGATTTGTTTTGATTGGATTTTGATCTTTGATCTTTGATTAGTGTAATTGTTCATCTTAGATTGTTGATTCTTGATTTCTTTAGTTGTTTGTTGATTTGATGATGTTGTTAGAGTAGTTGTTTGGCTAGCTAGGGGTAGGGTGAAGCTTATATGATGTGATGGATTGATGTAAATTGGGGATAATTGATGGAGTTGATGATGTGATTAAATTGGTTAATTGATTATGTGCATGTGTGTGTTTGATTTAGGCTTGATCACCCTAGTTATTCACACTAGATTGCATTATAGGTTCAAATTGATACGGACCATTGATTTGTGGCTTGCATTTACACGATTGAGGTGTCTTGTGATGTTTCCTAGCTAGAGTTTATCGTAGATGACGCTAGTTAAACCTCTAGGGGAATATCTTGATATGCTCTTTTGGTTGCATGATTAGTTTTCCCTCGCATCACTCGACTTAGACAACTTCCTATCCCAATTTGCTATGTTCATTGCTATTATTTGTGAATCCTAATCCCTAGCACTTTATTTGTTTGGTTTCTACGTCTTAGTAGTTGTTAGTGTCTTCTTCTATCCTTAGACTTCGACCTAGCTTAGGCACATAATTGAAAGCACTTAGACATTACCTTTCCTTTGGGTTCGACCCTTGACTTACCTCTATACTTGTATTTAGGTTAGTTAAGTGTTTATAAATTTTGTTTGGCTTAGGGAGGATTAGTCCAACGACCTAGTTCCTACCCTCGTCAAAATCGCGCCGTTGCCGGGGAGCGGGGTTATAGGGAATAATTTCAAGCGTTAACCCCTAGCTTGAACCCCACTGTGATCATACACTAAAGTACGGTGGCGTCCAAAAGGGAAGAAGATAGAGCAAAAGAGTCACCAACAAGTTTTAGGAACTTGTAAGCCGTTCATGAGGTGAAGGTTACACCCCTTAACGATCCAAGAGATCGTCAACTCCATAAGGTCTTGAACCAAATAAGGGTTCGGGGATGAAGGTACAAATCCAACCTAAAAGAGGTTGAACCTGCCCTAATAATAGGCCTCTACTTTATTCTGATCGTATTCATGTTCGCTTTTTGACTAACATGCAATCAATAGGATTACCCTAAACCTGTTAATCTATGTTGGTTGAATTTAATGCACAAATAAACCTATTATTGGCGATCACTTGAATTATAATCATATTAACCCTAATAAGATTATTAAATATCTTATTAAGCGTGATTACAAATACCAAGTTCCCTTTAAACATGCATAAAAGGCGTGATCAAGCAATAACAATAAATAATCAAGCAACATAATAATAAAAATCAGATAAAAATTGTCGTATAGGAGGATAAAATCGTATTTCCCTCAAGAATGCTCTTTGATTTTAATTAAAACTCTGAAAAGTCAACAAAAGTCAATTTATCAATGCTAATTGAATTAGGAATGAAAAGAACCTTCTAGAAGAATCTAGAAGACTAAAACTATTCCTAATTGCATTAGGAATGATAAATCTATATTAGGCCCTCCTCTAAATCATTGGGCCACATATAAAGCTCAAAACAGGCCCAGTTCAGTAAATTGGTCATAACTTCCTCAATATTCATCGAAATTGGGCTTATAATATATCGTTGGAAAGCTCTTGTCAAGCCCCATCCAACTACACTACTATTGGACCCATATCATGGACCAACCAAACTGGATTGGCTGTTTTCTTAAAATAAGTCTTCAAAAATAGAGAGAAGAGAAAATAAATTAAAACCATCCGCAACACTAGACTTTCCACACTTTCACTTCATTCGATTATGATTCGACGTGAAAGGTACTCATCACTGGGTTTGGTTTTGGGGAGACACAAATGGGTGTCTACAGAAGCCCCCACTTTGACTGAGTTTGGAGAAACGCAAGTTTCGAAAACAAAAGTCAAAGTATCGATAGGGACGGAGAATGATTCAGAACGTTCTGCGATCCTAAATCATTCTTGTAACGCCGATACCTGCAAAACTAGCATTAGTTAAAACATATAAGGGAGTTAAGAAACGCGTATCTTTCACCGTCGAGCACACGTCTCTGAAGTAACCGATTTGCTGCTGCTTTGCTGTTATTTTGATGACCTCCTGCAAGCTAGAGAATGCCATCCCGCTTGAAAACCGCTTCGCTTGTAACTGCTTCCAATATAGAAGACTGCTTCGCTTGAAACGATCCTCTCCCGCTTTGATAATATTCCACGTCCAAGGGAACACTATCGAAGATTGTTTCGCTTGAAACAATCCTCATCCGCATTGATAATGTTCCACGTCCAAGGGAATACTATCGAAGATTATTTCGCTTGAAACAACCTCCTTCCGCATTATGACCATCTTCCACGTCTAAGGGAGCACGGTCGAAGACAACTTCGCATGAAATTACCCTCAGCTGTTTGTGACAACTCTCCGCAAGCCAGGGAATGCTGCCGAAGATATCCTCGCTTGAAGCTATCCCCATTTGTTGCGATAATTTCCCAAAGGGAAATTACCAAAGATCTCCACTTGTCGATCTTTAAAAAGCTCGCTTGAACTTTGCTCCCGCTATGCTTGTACGTCAGCGCTTTACTGCTTTTGAACCTGTACGTCGGTGCCCTTTGCTGAATGAACCACTATGTCAGTGACTTTTCTTAATGAGCCAATACTTAAGCGCTTTAAGCTAAGTGAGACGTCTTTCATCAGGTCGATCACTTTGTGCAATAAAGCCGATTACTGAAAATTGTGTCAAATTGCCTAGAGGGGCTAACTGGCGTACCGAAGAACCTAAAGTATTTTACAAGAAGGTAGAACAATCTCACTAAGAAGTTGAGTGTTCTGGCGCCGCTGAAAAACCATCAGCGCCACACAATTGCCTTTAACGCCAGGTGCCAAGCCTGATTTTTGACGCCAAAGCCTAGCGCTTGGCGCCAGCACGGGGTTTTCCTTAAATACCCCTTTCTTCTTCATTTTAATGTTTCGCTCATCGCGATTTCACTCGAAAAACCGTAAAACTTCATTTGCTTCGTTCTTGCTCGTTTCTCAACCGAATTCACTCAAATTTGTTGCAAATTAAAGATCTTTTCATCTAATTTCTCGATCTATGTAAGATTTCTTCAAACTCACATCAGTTTTTATGAATTTTTGACATGTTTATTCACAAATTTCATGTAAATTCGAATTTTAGAATGCTTAATTCACTTTGTTTATCAAATTTTATGCCATGAAATTGCTTGATTATGTTTATATATTTCCTTGGGAGTAATTTGAAACTTGTTTAACTCAATTTGGTGAAGAAATGAGCAATTTGCCATTGTTGGACCCCTTAAGGTCGTGAAGAACAATGTGACTTGTTCTTGATGTTTTTGCTAGCAATTCTTGTCCAATTTTTCACAATAACTACTATAGTATTGCAAGAAATTGTTTGATTTCTTGAAAAATGCAATTATGCTCAATTTGAATTTGTGCTCTGTTTTAGTACTACTACTCTGTTTTTTTGCAAACATAGT